TCTTTCACTCTCTTCTCTTATGTATGCATCATCTCTTTGTGGAGGATGCATGTCGTCATCTGTTAATGCCACCACTGGCTGCTGCCTATGTATTGGTGTTAATGTTGGCCCCCCATGTTGTCCTGTGTTGTGGCTTCATCGTTGGACAATGCTAAACTCAGTTATTGCTGAGCGACAAGAGTGTTAAGTTGTGCCAACGCATTTGGGACCAAAGAAAGTGAAGAAAAGCATTTATTTTTCAAAAAAATCACACAAAAAAATACAAAATCTAATCAAAAAAAATTTTTGTGGCGCAAAATGTCAAAAGAGATAAAATGCAAATAGACCAAAAGCAATAACAACGACAACAACAGCAAGAAGTATATAGCAAAAAAATGAGAGTATGTCTGCCAGAGCAACAGGAGTGGGAGGAGGTAATGCATGAGGCAAGAGAAGACAAATTGTTGTTTCTATGAAACAAAAACAAAAAAGCAGCAACAGTCGTCGTTGCCGTTGTCGTTTCCGTCGAAGTTAAGTCGTTTCAATGAAACGTGTCGGGTTGTCTTCTATGAGATTTAAAAATTAAATGAGTGCTCGTATGTATGTGCATGTGTGTGCGCGTGTGTTTGTGCGAAAAATTAACATTGAAAAGATGTAAGGTGTAACAGTCATTGCATATGTCAAAGGATGCTAACACTCTCACACACACCCAATTTTAAACAATCTAATCTCTAGGTAAAGAAACAAAAAATGTTGAATTAAAGACGGAGAAGCCGTTCGTTCGGTAACTTGGCTTGAGTTTTTGTATTTTTAACATGACAAGTCCTTTGTGTTCGTTTTTTTTTTTTCGTCTTCTTCTCCTTCTGTGGTATGATGTCGGTAAATGCTAAGTGCTAACAAAGCTATTTGAGTGAGTGTTCTTCGGTGTATGTTTGTATGTGTGTTATTGCTGTTGTTGTTGGCATGAAGCAACTGCCTTGAGTAGGTGGCTGTTTGGTTATTCCTTAAAGGTTTTATTTGTAGTCTCTCGTTTTGTTGTTTTCCGTGTTTAGCTTGTGGTCTTCTGATGTCACAAACAAGAGCATTTGTTTTAATATTAGCTACTAAGTCGGAAACGAACTTTAAGGTAAACAATATGTTTGTTGTTGCTGTGAAACAGATAAAGTGCACACCTACACTTACAGACTCGAAAATGTACTCATACCATTAGCCCAAGGCGAATAAGAAGTGTTTCATTCAAAGAAGACTTGGCTTATTAATTATAAAATGAAATCAACTAAATTTTTGAAAGGCTGGGAAAGGTATTTAAAAAGGATTTAACAAAAAATAAGACTTTTTGAATATTATAAAAATGGAATTTAAGGAAAATCCTATACATACAGGGATTTCGGAGGAAGAAAACGGCTGACTAAAATATATTCTAACTCTATTAACTCAATTGAAATTGTGAAATTATGAAACACATTTCGAAATTTATGGAAATGTGTTAGTTGAGGGCCGATGAAATATGTGGATCAGGGAATTACCCAGGAATTTTATAATATAAGATAGGACTTAACTAGGAAACAATTAATTTTTTCATATAAAATAGAAAGCAGAACAGGTCCATGAAAAAAAAAACTAAGAAAAATGCCTTAACATTTAAATTAACACTAAAGTGGTTGTCCTCAAAATCCCTTCAGTTAGTCTAATTTTTAAACTCAAAATACCAGATTTTAGATTATGTAGTTGTTGATGTTGTAGCAGTTCATACTGCTGTGTTCGTTCTTAATTTTCTCAATCAGATTCTGCCTCCAAATCCAATCTCAAAAAGAATTCAACCTGTTCGGGTTGGGTCCACAACGAGCCTGAAGTTAGGTGAATAGGTTTGGATGGACACGAAATAGGTGCAGCGTGTCATGTGGACCTGTGCCACAAGCTGGGCACATCGTTCTGCCAGGCCCAATAGGGATTGAGACGGCTGGACCATGCGGATCTTAACTGAGCCAAAACTATTCAGGTTTTTCAGGGCAGTTCTCGCTCTTCAGCTGCAATGGGAGGGGGATGGTCTCCTAGTACAGTTGATCTAGAGGCTCTCTCTTATACCTCTGTACCTCTCTCTCTTGACCATGAAGGTCTTTCCTTACGTGCCTGGGCAGAGGTTACCTTTCCACCAGATGGAGATTCAGGTGGCTCTGTCTGTAACACCCAAGCAGGTATTGCATTGACAGCATTTTTTTATGCTGTCGCACCGGTAAGACCTTCGCCTCATCATGTAGTTAAGAGGAGGCACCCTGTTGCGGTTCTAAGGGCGGCATTTTGGCAGGACTGAATATTATATAATTGTTGTTGCAACAACTACAAATGATTTGTTTGATTTTCCAATCCTAGATCTAACTTCAGGTTCAAAAATTCGGCTACTTTCGTGGGCTGTAACCAAAGCTGTAACTTGGAGTGAATGGAGTAGTTTTGACAGGACAATTAAAGAGATGCAGCGTATTGTGCGGACCTACGATTGGCAGACGTTTCGCAAATCTTTGTCAATTCGTGGCCAAAACGAATGAAGATGACTGCACCATCCTGAACGTAATTGCACAAAAACTACCCTGATTTGTCTTTGCAGCAGACGTTCTTCAGCTGCTATGGATGGGGGTGAACTCCGATGACGGCATTTATATTGTAATTGTTGATGGCATATGTATAAATGCCACTCAAACCTGTCTAATAACTTCTTGGTCTAGAAGCTATTTCTTATAGCGTTGAACATTCGTCTCCAGATAATATTTGTCCTTCCTGACACGCCTGTTCGGATGATTCACAGAATAACACCCAAACAAATGTGCAAGGACTTTCAAAGCAAAGTGATATACTGACGTACGGGAAGGACCTCCTGAATGCTCTTCTGTAACACTTCTCTGCCAGGTTTGGATAATTTTGTAATGCGTATCATTTGTGTTCGCAGACCAGACTGGGCAGACTGAAAACGAAGGAAAATCTTATACGTTGAGTCTATAGCCACATTGGGATTAGCTGTGCAGAAGTCGACTTTTGGACTGTTCAATTCAGCTCTTCAGTAAAAAAGTCAGCTTTTGTGATCTATGGATTTTCAAATCTTTGCAAACCAAAGTCTGTTTCAACCGATTTTGATTTGTCAACAGAAAAAAAACGAAACAAAAAAAAATAATTTAGATTTTTTGAGTTAAATTAAAGATTGGATTTGAAATTGTATTTTTCTTTTCCATTCACTTTTGTATCGACATGTGGACTGCATTTCCGCTACTATTTAGGATATATCCGTTCCCTAGTAACATTTTATCATTCTAGTTGATTCTGGAACAAAAACATTCAAGTGTTAAAAAAAAAGAAAATGGAAATGAGAAATATAACTGATTCAGGGCTTACCTGCTGTTCAGCGATTGGTGCTTAAGCAAGAAAACTAAGCGCTTATTACAACAATTCCCCTCAAAAACTAAAAGGAAACCATGTAAACTTTTCATCAGCAAATATATTTTAAAGTGTTTTAGTTTCGGTTCAAGGGGAATTCGTTTTAATAACTTGCAAAGAAATGATTTTGGCTTATTTTTTCGGTTAAGAGAAAAGAAAAATTACCCCCCAAAAATATAACAACCATACAATGGGTCTTTCAATATTTATCTGGTTTTCAGAAGAATTGCAAAAAGAAAATGTAAAATGTAATGGCAAAGAACTCGTATTGCTGTGTTGCAGTCCTTCTCTCTTTCTTTCGTTTTTTTCTGGTTTTTTTCCATTTTTTTGAGAATTGTAATTTTATTCTTTCTTAAGGGTGAAAGTACTTTGACTCTGTGTGTGTGTGTGTTTGACCTTAACCCAAAGCCTCAAACATTTGTTTTTGTGGTTTTGTGGGATGGCTGGTTGGTTGGTTGGATGGATGATGGTATATGTCGTATGATGCCATGTAAATGGCAATGCCATGGGGCGTATGATTAACCGAAAAATGTGCATAAGGGTAATTAAGGGGGTGGCGTATGATTGATAAGAATTGGTCTCATTGTACGAATATAATCATGGTACAATAAAAAGGTAAAGGTACCAGATTTTTACAATATTTTCTAAGTCTGCCCGACTTCGGCCAGTTTTGTCTATGATTTTAGTGTTTTAAAAATCAAAACAAAAAATATTTCAAATCAGAGTCTAGACACATTCAAATCAAATCATTTTTCGCCTTTTTATCTCATTTAAAAAATGAGCGAGAGGGCATACCCTGATGACGGTAGCCGTTCTACCTCATCATCATCATGAATGTAATATGTTATTATTCATTTAAAGCAATTCAACTTGGATTAATCAGGATATGACATTGAAATCCTGCTCTGTTGAAGTTTTCAAAAAAAATTGAAATTCTTTTAATTTTTTGTTCCAAATACATATTTCCCTCCCCTTAATTACCGTAATTATGTTTGTAACTGCCCCCTAGCCTCCTGCCAAATTACCTTTTTATTGCCTTGAACATTAATGGCGTTTTAAGAACTTTTTTGCTTTTCCGAACAAATTATATCTCTTTTCCTCATCAATTTTCTTTGGAAAAGAAGGGGGAAAATACTTTTCCTTATTTTTCGTTGTTGTTTTTTTTTTCAAAGAAAACGAAAAAATTTCCTCTTTTGAATAAATATCTCATTCGTCATTGTGTTAAGCATCTGTCGTCAATGCTATGTTAATTGGAAGATATTCAAAAGCATTGTCTGTCGCCTGGATTGGCAGAGATTGAATCCGTACATGTATGTGTGTGTGAGGTAGGGTAAGGTTGCTTGCCTGGCTGATTTTGGCTTATTTAAGTGGGCTGCTGTGCTTTTGTGTTATGACAACGGCAACGACGACGACGACAAATGGGTGTGTGTGGTGTGCTGTTCGCGTTAAGAGAACAACATTGACCCAGAAAAAGAAAGCGAGACAAATAAACAAAACCCTCAACTGGCGAATATTTTAAGTTGAAAATTTGTTTTTAAATGTCACCAGCATCCTAAAATGTGCCAACAACATTAACAACAACAACAACTTGTATGCCATTTAAGTAGTATAGACTCACTGTTTTGATATCCTTCAAAGAAAATTACATGAATTTAAATTAACATTAAAAAAAGGAAATTAGGAAGGTGGGGAGGTATCTGAATGAGTTGTCCATTTTTTAAATTTTGTGGAAAAATAAGTACTTCGTCAAAATTCCTAAAAGGATAAAGCTTTGAAAGAAAAACAGTTAATTTAATAATGATGGCAGTTCTGGGATATATTAAATACCTACCACATACAGAGCTGTGTCAATCTATTTCCTAGTTCAGTACACCAGTTCCTAAACGTACACCCGCTACTTCGTCAGCGAAAAGTCCCCCTTTAAATTTTAGATTCGTTAAACAGTTAAAACATGGCAGGTCTTTTTAGTACCTAAAAATTTCCAATTTTGAATTTCAGATTTTATAAAACCTTAAAAATCTGAAAATTTAGTAGAATGTATGAAGTTTTCATTTACAAATATTATCAAAATGTTACTCAGTTTTTTTCTTTTTCTGAAAGAATGATAGGAAAATGATTACCTTTTACACCAAAAAGTCTTCTATTTTGAAGTTTACCGAGGAGGTTATTAATTAAACCCTTGCACAATGGGCCCACGACAATTTTTTTTGTCTAAACTATTCCCACGTCTCCATAGGCAAACCCTAAGAATCAACAGTGTCCTCAATATCAAATTTTAGCTGTATCCCTTCATACAATACTAAATTTAGTAACAGTTAGTACATATATCCAAAACAATATACCTCTTTCCATTCCAGACACCAACAGAGATCCATATGAGTAACATTTAGTACTTTTCACACTTTTCCAAAACCGCCTCCAAATCTCAACCTAATATATCAACAGAGACCTTAATATCAAATTCGGGATCCCAGCCCTGTAATTTTCCCAAAGCGTAGTTCCATTTAGTACAATTATAGGATGCGTATCCCAAAACCAGATCCTTCTCTCAACCACAGACACCAACAGAGACTTCTATATCAAATTTCGGGATTCCAGCTCAGTGCATTCACTCAATAACAAATTTAGTAACATTTAGTACTTTTCGTAAAATTTTAGTACACATTTGTAAAACTGTTCCTTATCTCAATCCCAGACACCAACAGTAATCGCAACATAAAACCTCATGATTTCAACTCTATCCCTTCACCCAATACTAAATTTTCGTCAATTTAACGTTTCATTCAGCTCCACTTCCAAGTCTCACCACAGACACCAACAGTGACATCTATATCAAATTTCTAGATTTTTGCCCTATTCCTTCATTCAATAGGAAATGTCGTACTATTTAGTACTTTTCGTACAATTATAGTACACGTCTCCTACACCCCCTCCATATTTCAATTCTAGATACAAACAGGCGCTTCAATATCAAATTTGAGCATCCCTTCACCCAATACAAAATTTAGTACCATTTAGTACTTTTTGTACAAATATGGGAAAACCACCTCCATATGTCCAGTCTTCACATGAACAATGACCCTAATACCAAATTTCGTATTTTAAGCAATATCAAATTTGAGGATCCCTTCACCCAATACAAAACTTAGTACCATTTAGTACTTTTTGTACAAATATGGGAAAACCACCTCCATATGTCCAGTATTCACATGAACAATGACCCTAATACCAAATTTCGTATTTTAAGCACCATATGTTCACCTAATACCAAATTGTACCAAATATAGTACTATATAGTACTTCCCGTGCACTTGTAGTACGCATTCTTCATCTCCACTTCGAAGTCTGAAACTCAGATACAAACCTTATCTAAATATCTAATTTCAGAATTATATCTCTATCCCTTCACCCAATACCCAATTTTGTACCATTTAGTAATTAGTTCACATTTGCAAAACGAGCTCCAAATCTCAACCACAGACACCAACAGTGACATCCATATCAAATTTCTGGATTTTAGCTCTATTCCTTCATATAATACAAAATTTAGTACTAATTAGTACTTCTGGTAAATTGTAGTTCACATTTTCAAAACCACCTCCATATCTCAATTCCAAATACGAACTGAGACCTCAATATCAAATTTGAGTATTCCCAACCTATTCCTCCACCCAATACAAAATTTAGTACCATTTAGTACTTTTCGTACAAATGTAGAACATATTTCCAAACACAAATGCCATCTAAATCTCAAATTGTATATGTATCATTTCGGCCAATACAAATAGTACCATTTAGTACTTTTTGTAAAAATATAGAACGCATTTCCGAAACCACCTCCATATGTTCAGCCTACACATGGACAATGATCCTAATACCAAATTACACATTTCAAGGACTATCTGTTCACCCAATACCAAGTTGTACCGAAAATGTATAGTACTATTTAGTACTTTTCGTGCTGCTGTAGTACCCATTTCTAAAACCAACTCTTTATCTCTAAACAAACACCAACAGGGACTCCATTACGAAATTTCAAAATTCCATATTCATCCTAACCATTCTGTTTCAAATTTAGTACCATTTAGTCCCATTTGGTGCAGTTCGCGCACGTAGTACACATTTACAAAATCACATTCATAAAGCAAACTTACTTCCCAACCTTAATTCTCATACCAGATTTTAAGTTTTTAGTTCTATCCGCTCACATAATACTAAATTGTACCATTTTAGAAGTTTAGTGCCATATTAGAACTTTTCGCTAATTTTAAAGTTAGAATTCCCAAAAAGCCTTTGGTACATCTATCCTGCAGTTTATCAGTGGCTTTCATTCAAAATTTCAGAATTCTAGCTTATTAGTAAATTTTATTACTTTTCGTACCCTTTTATTTTGAATTTCCAAAAACCCAGTCACGCCTACGCACCAAGACTGGCCCTCATGCAAAATTTCAATCTTTAGCCCTTTCATCTGGACGTTGATTCTCAGTCAGTTATTCCACTACTCTTTTTTTATATATAGATTACTACACGTTTTTTTTTTCTCGAGTGTAAAACTTAATTTTCCTCATATCCAAGCAACCTTTGGCTAAGCAATTCAAAGAAATCGTATTCTAGCAGTTAGAAGACAACTTCGAAAACCTGAATTACTTCCTTTGAACTTGAAAGAATTGCGAAAAAGAACTTTCCCACTAATCTCTCCTCTTCGTTTCCTCCTATCTCATTGCAGATCATTTTTTACAAGTCCACTTTAAGCGGAACAACAGAAAAACCACGGGTCCAATAACCGCACAAAGCGAACACCAAAAAAAAAAACAACAACAACAAAATCTTTTTGATTTTTCCTTCATCCCCCAAAAATCGCTTTTGTTTATGTTTTGACACGCAATGGAATTGCCTTCCATGGTTCAGAGATCTGGCGACACCCTTATCGTACGCAGTGTAGTCAGTGGCAATCAATTGTATGCGGACCAACAACACAACTCGATTGGACCAGAAGTTTTAAACAATATGAATACCTCAACAGCAACAACAAACAACAATAATAATAACGGAAGTTCCGCTGCCAATGGTGGTGTTGGTGGTGGTCTACAAGTGAATCCCTCCATTTCCAGTAGCCTGATAATGGAACAAATCGAACGTTTGAAACGTTCGCAAGAGGCGGCCCAACAAATCATGCAACAACAACTGCAACAGCAGCAGCAACAACAGCAGGCCCAACAAAATGCCGCCATGGAACTGAAGGAAGAAGGTCTGCCGCAATGCAAAATCAAGCGTAACTACAGCTGCAGCTATTGCACCTATTTCACACAGAATCCTCGCTACCACTTGACCCACTTGCGGGACGTCCATGGCGAGAAAATAGTCATTAATAAGTGTAAACTTTGCCTCTATGCCTCGCGACACTATCAGAAGCTGGTGCGGCACATGAAGATGGTGCACGGCTGTACGGAGGGAGTGACCAGTGGTCATGGCCAGGCACGTGGAAAACGTGGCATGAATCGTGATCGAAAACGTAAGCTGGAGGATAGCATGGCCCAGGCAGGATCGGCGGGGACCATCAAGCTAATGAATCTCGAGGCATTTAATGCGGAACAGGTAAGGTTTCTTTTTTTTTCATTCGAATTATTTTTGGGCATTTATTCAACTCCCCCCTTTTACAGCTCAAGGCCGACATGGAACAGAAACTAAATCGCGACTTGGATTTATTCACACAACAGCAACAACAACTGCAACACGAAGAACAACAAAAATCACAGCAACAACAGCTGAGCATAACGGCAGCCAATGCCTTTTTCGCCGCTGCTGCCTATGAACATCAGCTGCGGGCCCAACGTGATATGGCCGAAAAAGATGCCCTCCGCAAAAACGACCATTCCAATTATGAGCGCCGAGAGTCAACATCACCGCCAGCACCCAATGAGGTGACATCTGATGAAAATTACAACAATGCATCCCATGCACAACAAAAATCCTACGACTACAACCCCTCCTCCTCAACCTCTGCCCTTAATTCCAATGCCACAGCGGGCAACCAACAGGAATCGAAAATTCAAATGCCCCCACAAAGGCTCAGCTATGAATTGACCCCCTCTCCGTCGGGCAGTAATTCCTCACCGCCGCCGGCGGGACAAAGCACAAGTGGCAGCACCACCCCTCTCAGTGTCATGTTACCCACAGATGAGCCCTCCAATAATCGCCTGCTGAAATGCAGTCTCTGTGATTTCACCACGCTGTATCGCAACAATCTGCTGGAGCATGAAATCGAAGATCACTGCGATGCCAAATTCTATCGCTGCGAGAAATGCTCCTATGTGACGCACATCAAGGCCCGCTTTAGCAAACATGTCAAATACCACTCAATGCCCATGATCAAGTGTGTAACGTGTGACTTCCGCACCCCCTACAAATGGAATTTGGATCGCCACATGAAGAATCATGGCGGGGCAGGACCATTCCGATGTGCGGCCTGTGACTTCACAGCCGACATCAAGCAGTCGCTTACGGTCCATGAAATGAATCATCATGTGCCGCCCGTGGGTCATGCGGCCGGCATGACTTTGGCCCGAAGACGCAACAAAGTGGGAGGCACCGATTTGAGTGAAGATTTCTTTAGTGATTCTGCCGAAATGTTGGAGGACCACTTCAACAACAACAACATGGATGACTACGATGAAATGCTAATGACAGCCGGTCCCGTTGAGGGTGTTTACGAATCGAAACGTTTGCGTTATGAGGAGGATGAACCCACAGATCTATCACAAAAAGGCGGGTCCTCCGATACTTCGTCGGTGCACAATCAAGCAGTGTCCACAAAAGCCAAGAAACCATTGCCCAATCTAATACCCATCTCCAAGGAGGGGGAAAATATTTTGAATCTCAGTTCGGACATGGTGGCTGGGGGAAGGTATTTCAATGAAAAACAAACGGGTGGGGATACAGGCGCCACAGCCGCCGCTTCCCAATTGTCACCCACCACCACCATAGCCTCCTCGTCAGCTGCCAGCGGCAAGAGTCTGCTGGCCCGTAAATCCGGTTCATTTTTTGATAAAATCAAATTCTCCACCACCACCAATGAGAACCTTATCTGCCCCTGTGGTCACATGGCCAAATGCCTTTCCGAATCGATTATTCATCGCAAATCCTGTACCTTCGGCCATGATGACATCGATCTGGATGACGAGGATCATGATGAGGATGGTGAAGAGGGCCGTTTGGAAATTGATTTCAATGAAGATGATGAATGTGACAAACAGTCCCAGTCGGCTCTCAATCTAAGCGTAACTGGATCGACACGCTGCCAACATTGTCGCCATCGTTGTAAATCCTCGGCTGATCTGTTGAATCATTTGAAAATCTGTTCAGAGGCCAATAGTCGTTGTGGCGATTCGTTGTCAGGGGAAAGTAGTATTGGCGGTGGTGGTAGTGGCCGTCTAATGATGGGTGATGTGGATCACCAGCAACAGTCGCATCATCCCATGGAGAATCGTGTCTTTGTTTGGAATAAAATACCTCGCAATCAAGGTTCGGAGGGTTCGCAAAGTTTCGATGGCAGCCGGGGAATGCATCCAAATGCCCACGGGAATAATGGTGGAGGTTCGGGCGGTATGGGCCCCGGAGGTATCCTGAGTGCCAACAATGATGAGAATAGTTATTATGGTGTCGAAACCGCTCCAGGCTATGGGGAGGTAAGTTTGAATTTGATTGTAAGGGTAGCATTTAAAAGGGTTTAAAAAATGAGGAATATTTAAAATTTTTTACTGAACAATGTTCAGTACAAAATTTAGTACCATTTAGTACTTTTAGCACATTTTTAGTTCGAATTTTCAAAAACAAAAAAAAAACATGTGGTATATCTTTCCTACACCCCATATAAGAACCTTATTCTAAATTTCAGAGATCTAGCTCTACCTGATTGCCCAATACAATGGATTAAATTTTTAGTACCACTTGGTACTTTTAGTGTACTTTTAGTTCGAAATCCTAAAACTCCCCATTTTATACCTACACATCTAAATTTTCAAGATTCTAGCTTCATCCGTTTCGCCTGGGCATTAATTAATTAGTCAATCAATCACTCACTAAAATATTTTCAAAATAAATGTTTCAAAATGTTCGGAATATTCACTAAAATAGCTCATGAACCAATACACATACAGAGACCTTTTATACATAAAAACCTTGGTAGTGACCTCCCCTTTCATATGAAGTTTGCAGAATTGCATCCTTGTTCACACATTCCAGAAAACATCTATTACTAACACAATAAGTTGCATTGTGTTAGTAATGGATGTTCTTTGGAACCCGTGGACCGGAATGCGATTCCACAATTTTCATATGAAACGTGACGTCAATACCAAGGTTTTTATGTACAAATGGTCATAAATTTCAATTTCTTTCAATGTTTAAAATAAAACTTTTTAAAAAAATTAATTATAAAACATTTTCAAAAAAAATACCCATCCCCCCTTTACACTGTGCCAAATGAAATTTGAAACTTTCACTGTTTCCAGGTAACTAAAAAGATGACACCCGAAGAAGAGGCAGCCAATTCGTCGCTAAAGAAAGTCTACAAATGTCCGCACTGCTCGTTTTGGGCCTCCACGGCATCCCGCTTCCATGTACACATTGTCGGCCATCTGAATAAGAAACCGTTCGAATGTTCCCTGTGCTCGTATCGTTCCAATTGGCGTTGGGACATTACCAAGCACATACGCCTAAAGACCATACGCGATCCCAGCCATAAAAATGCCCGTGTCCTGATGAACGATGAGACAGGGCGTAGGAATTACACCAAATATAATAAATATATTACCCTGATGAAGGTAACCGAGGAGGATGGCGATCCGAAGCTAATGAAATCTGGTGAAATGACACCAAATCAGGTGGCTTCGCTGGCCTTCATCAATGATTACAATCAGAAACAGCAGCAGCAACAACAACAGGGTTCTGTTGCCTCATCCGGCTCCACATCTTTGAGCAACATTTTAAATGGTGTACGGGAAGATATTACCCTAGAGCCAATACCATCGAAAAATTCTCTAGGAATGGTTGGCGATGACAATATGGCCGATAACTTTATACGTTTGCCGCTCTTGGCCTCAATGATGAATGCCGCCATGGCCCAGCAACAACATCAGAAGGGGCAACAGGCCAACACGGATCATGAAAATGCCACATTGATTACACCCTCGGTAACCATATCGGCCGTTAAGAAGAATCCACAAACATCGTCATCATCTTTCAAGCCAAGCGATGAAATCATTTTGGAAGTGCGGCCGGACAGCAGTGAGAAGAACTATAAGTGTCGTAAATGTAACTTTAGGTGAGTCCAGGGGAATCTCTCTCAAAATGTATTCTCTTAACTCAAATTTCTCTCTCTCTGTCTCTCCCACTCCAGACACATGAACCGTGATGCCGTTTTGGCCCACGTCAAGGTACATTTCCCCGATCCCAATGCCCCCATTGTAACAGCCACTGCTACAACATCGCCCAACAAATCCAGCCAACTGCAGGCCACGGGTCCTCTGCAAATCACAGCAAATTCAAATTTGTACATGAACAAAGTATTGGCTGCCATGTGTCTGACACAGCAGCCCAACAGCTCGGCCAATGCCCAGGCTCAATTGTCCAATCTGGTCGCAGCCGGTCTTCTCGATCAGTCGGGCAATTCCGCGCTTAGCGGTCTGGCACTGGCCTTGGCCGGCAAGAGTCCCCTCAAAGCATCACAGCTAAATGCCGCTACTGCTGCCGCTAATATCATTGAGCACGGTGAGCAGAAAGCGATTCTAAATGACCAGGCAAGTGCCGAGAACACTATGACGTCGCCAAATCAATTAACACTAGTTAAGGCGCTTCAACACAATTCACAACAACAACAACAGTTACAAGCGACGTCGTCGTTGTCGTCTACATCAAATTGTGGTTATGGGCCGGCGACGGCAAAGAGTCCCTCATCCTCATCTTCATTGCAAAATCTATTAACATCGCCCAGGGGCGGCAGACAGAGTAGTAACACAGCCAGTCTGGATGGTGGTTTAAATGACACAACAATGGTTATGGGTTCATCTAAAACAACAACAACCACCGCCACCACAAATACAACGGCAACAACACTCACAAACAAGCCTGGCACAATGGCTATAACTGCGACAGCAAATCCACCTCCTCCTCCCTCACCACAAGCAATTGTAACTACTACTAGTACTCCTATATCTTCTCCATGTACTTTCAATCTAACACAGGCTGCAATGCCAACAACGCCGCCGCCACCACCGCCACCTCCCTTTGGCTCTTCCGCCTCCACCTTAAACAGCAAACATTTTGGTGATGGTCATCATTTCACGGAGTCGGATCTTTTAACTGCCGCTACGGCAAGTGGGTGCGGCGTTGGCGGCTTGTTGGCCTCCAATGGTGTTGTGGGTTTGCAAGATCTAATGATGGTGGTTATGGGTGCTTCATCTGATCATCATTTGCCAAATGTCGGAATCAAGTCATCATTATCATTGTCGTCCAATCCGAATCCGATTCAAACGAATCAAAATCAAAATTCTTCCACCTCCAATTCGTCTTCAGCTACTTCTATTCAAAATCATACCTCCTCATCCTCCCCCAGTAACAGTAATAATACAAATAATGCTAGTAATAATAATTTGGGTCATGTGTCCTCTGGTAATGGTTCAAATAATTCTCATAACAATAACAACAACAATAATAGTGGTAATGGTGGTAACGGTAACGGTAACAACAACAATAACAATAATTTATTAACGCACGAAACAGCAACGGGCGATCGACGCGATCCATCGCCATATCGTTGTGGTCATTGTCATCAAGTATCCAATTGGAAGCATGTCATACAGGTATATTTCTAAAAAAAAACCCAAAAGAAAAAAAATCCCCATTTTATTCTAAATTTGTGTGTTAGTGTGTGAGTGTGCGTGTGATGAATGCTTTTTTTAAGTGGTGTGAGTGTGTGTGTATTTTTGTCAAAGAGGTCGAGTAATAATTAGAATGAGGGGAACTCAATAGGAATAATAAGGATATATATAGCGTTTAGGATATGCGATTTGTATTTTTTCGTTTTTTTTTTTTTCGTAAGTTTGTCATTCCGTTTGTAACACCTCGAAATATACATTTTAAACCCCACAAATTATATATATTCTTGATCAACATAAAATTCTATGTCGATTTATCAATGTCCGTCCATCTCCGTCCATATCCGTCTGTGGAAATCACTCTAGCTTCCGAACGAAATGAAGTAGGTTGATAAAATTTTACTCAAATGTGTATTATGTCTGCAGGACCTTTGGTATTGAAAATGGGCCATGTAGGTCTACGTCTTCGTATAGCCCCAACATAACGGTAACTCCCGATATTCGGTATTTTGATGATTGGAGCGACATTATTTACCGAAATTGTTTCAAATTTGGTATTTGAAGTTCGTAATGGATTCTACATCCTAAGACAGAAAATGAACCATGTAGGTCCACGTCTACGTATAGCCGCCATATAACGGTACCTCCCGATATTGGGTATTCTGATGATTTTAGCGACATTATTTACCGACATTATTTATTTCAAATTTTGTACTTGAAGTTCGTAATGGATACTACAGCCTATGACAGAAAATTTTCTGTGCAGGTCCACGTTTTATAAACCCCATAGAACCTCCCTATATTCGGTATTTTGATGATTTTAGCTACATTTGAATATTGTAATATTGAATATTGTTGCCTATGCAGGTGCACTTCGTTATATAGACCCTAATATACGGCTACAGTCGTTATTATTTAAATTTTAACAGAATTTTAAACGGATTTTATATTTTTGAAAATTTTTAAATTTGTACCAAATGGTGAAGGGTATTATTTATTGAATGAAAGTAACAAATATCGGAAATAACATCAAATTTTAGAATAAGTTTAGATTTGTTCGAATTGGTCACCTTTGGCACGAATTATGACCTTCAAATGGCCAATGAAACCGTCACACGCTGCCCGAATGTTGCTTGCCCATTCCCCGTGAAGCGCTTGCATGAGGTGATCGACACTTTGGTATTTTTTAGTGCCAATCTTGCTTTCCAAAAATAGTTCAATGGACTGGTATTCGGAAATTTTGGTGGCAATTGTGCGCTGGAAATGAAGCGAGGAACCTCATTTTGTAACCATGGTGCTGAGTTCTGTTGGAATGTCCAAGATCTGCGTCCAAAATATTTGCGTGCCCATGGCTTAAATACACCCTCTAGAATATTTTCACGATAATATTCGGCATTCTGATGCCATGGTCGGTTAATACGAACGGAGAGCGACCATTGGCTGTTATGGCGGCCCACACCATCACCATGGCCGGTGCTTGAGTTCTGGTGGCCAACTGAAGGTGTACCTTTTCAGCTGACCTCTTTGGCAAGTGAACACGTTCATTTTGTTTGTTTACAAACTGCTGGAAAACGAAAATTTTCTCATCTGGGACTGAGAAAACCAAATTCGGCAGTTCACCACTTTCGGCCAAGCGAAGCAACTCTTTAGCTCTTTTGAGTCCATTTTCTTTCTATTGCGGTGTAAGTTCTTGCACTTTTTGGAATTTCGATGGCTTTACCCCGAGTTCATTTTTCAATATTTGCCGAATGGAATATTGCGATATGTTCACCTCATGAAACATTTTTCGGCCACTGCAACACGGGTTTCGATCAAGTCGCTTCTTTACTTTTCGAACCATTTCTGCTGATGTTGCTGTTTTCTGCCGTCCACTTCCTTGACGTTGGGCTAGTATCACGGTAACGGGCAATGGTACTAGACACAAAAGATTTATTCTCATTTAAATGCTGGGGTGCTCTAACGATAGCCACTTGTGGTTTTCCAGCCAAATATAAAGAAATTCAACTTTCACGCTTGAATTCCATCACGAATAACCTGTTTTCTGGAAAATTCTCATCAAAATGCTTTTGTACGCTTGTAAACAATATAATGAGCTGTCACTGGAATAATTTTACCAGCTATCGGACGAGAGGCTTAGAAATGACAACAGTCTGAAGTTGATTGCAGTTTTTTCATCTCACCTTGTATTATGTCTGCAAAACTCTTGGTATTGAAAAATGGGCTATATATGTCCATGTAGTTGGTATAGCTCCCATATAACGGTACCTCCCAATGTTCGGTATTATTATGGTTTAGGAGACATTATTTACCGGAATTATTTCAAAATTTCGTAATTGAGTTCATAATAAGAGAGAAGTATCTATGCAGCTCCACGTCTTCGCATATTTACCGTTATAATATCAAATTTCGAAGTTACCCAGAAAAACCTATCGAATATTCGTCATCTGGGGACACCCACAAACCGGAATTGCAACATTAGAAGAAGTGTGTATTTTTTTTAAGATTTGTGTGTAACTTAATTTCAGTATTTTAAAGAAGATTTAATTTTTTTTTTTTTTTTGAAAAATTTTTAAATTATCAACCTGCTCTCCTTCGTTCAAAATCTGGTGGTATTGTGACTAAATTAAAAAAAAAAATACCAAGGTTAGGCGACCCGCTTTAAATTAATTTTTCTAATTATTTTAAATTAAAATTAAAAAGGTTCTTCTTGTGGAGCATTTCCCCCAATCCTTTTCGCCAGGGAAACTTAAGAAAGGTAACATATTTTTATGTATTTGCAAAAAAAAACTTTGGATTTGGATTGTAAATTTCAATATTTTTTTACATAACTTGAAAACATACAAAAAAAAAAAAAAAAAAATCGTGGTGTTTGGTATCTTATTTGACTTTGGTATCCATATATACTTAATTTTTGGTTCATTATTATTAAGGCTTTATTACTATAAATATATGGTTATGTATGTGTGTGTTTCATTATGGTGTTGGTGTGGTGTTTGTGTTTATCACTTTGTCATTTTTTTTATAAAATTATAAAACGTTTTGTTTCTCAATTTTTAATTTAAACTCTTCTGCCTCTTCAAATTATAGCGACACTGTCGTTTGAAACACGCTGGCGCCATCAACATCGAAACCCTTGATCGCGCTGCAACCGGTGATCGTCACATGGCTCCAGTGTACAAGCCCTTGGTGAATGGAGCCTCGATCAGTGATCAGCTGCAACAACAACAACACCAATCAAGCAATAACAATCTTAGCACCAATGGCCAATACAGCTTGACCTTAAAGGCTTTGCAACAGCAAAACAATAATAACAACAGCAACAACAACACCAACACGAACCACAATAACAACTCTGTACTTATAGACAATAATACCACCAAAATGGGTATGACAAATTTGCCAAAATCCGAGACGCCACAATCTCTGTTGAGCTCATCGTTACCCCTGACCGGCAACTCGGCAGATTTACAAGCTGCAACTGTGGCTTATTTGGCAGCCGCTTACAAGGCGGCCCACAGCCAAAATGGCATTAACAATGCCACATTGGCCAACATTACCAATATGGCTGAGGAGTTGTTGTTACAACAACAACTGCAAAAGAATGATCAAATCGAAATCACCCGTGTTTCTTCGTCGTCAAATGGCCAGCAGCAACATCATTTGGGGCTATTGAATGGTCAAAGCTCCAATTTGGCCCAATTGTTGGAATCCAATAACAATAATGCAATGAATGCTCCAACTCCAACAAATAGTGGCAACAACAACAAATCGAAACAACAAAAGTGTCCCCTCTGCACCTACATTTGTGACAGTAAATCCCAGATGAACTATCACATCTCGCTGCACAAGCCCACCCAGTATGAGTGTCATTTGTGTACCTTTGTCTGTGCCAAGAAACAGCATTTGAGCTCGCATATGCGTAGCGTGCATCAAATGTTGCCACAACAACAACAGCAGCAGCTTCAGCAACAACAGGCATTTGCTGCCGCATCCTCAGCTGCCCTGAATATGGATTTCAGTTTGGCTCTTAAAGTGGCTGCGGCCAAAAATCAACAGGTAAGTTGAGAGGCCACATGGGGAGCGAAATATTTTGGGGAGGAATATATTTGACCTAGAAATAGGGGTCTATATTTTTAATCTTTTAAATACAACAAAATTTAAACATTTTATTTCATTGCTCTTCCAGGACTCTCCCTTGGCCATTGATTTATCGGGTATGAAACACAATATTGCCGCCCTGAACTCGCCAGCCCAACGTTCTTCGGTGGGTGGTACAAATACCGCAGCCAAGGCCACCTCCGCAGCATCCACTCAACATTTACCACCCGAATATCAATACCGTTTAATTTATTACTGCAACAGATGTCCGGCTCGTTATGCCCAGAAACACAATGATCCGTTGACGGCGAAAAATGATCTAGACGAACATCTGAGGCAACATGAACCCTTCCCCAACAATCCAGATGATCCACGTAAATGTCTATGTGACTACTGCGATTATAGGGCGGCCCATGAGAATTTGATACAGGCCCATCGTCATGTCCATACCAGCCAATATCAGGAGAAATGCAATGAGCTGTATAAAAACTGCAAAGATGACACCGTCTATCGGGCTCCCAAGCTAATGCACATAACCGCTACCCGCAAGCAGCATCAACATGAAACCATATGGGTGGTGGATCAGGATCTAAATGAGGGACACATAATAAAAATGGGTGGCCAAAATTCGAGTATTACATCCAGTTCGGCCAATGCTGGCTTTGAGGTTGGGAATTCTTTGCTTAAGAAACAATTGGAATCGAAGCAAAGTTCGCCGCAAAATGTCAACGAAATGACACACAAAGATGACAAAGAAGAGTCAAATGCGCCAGCCTCCATGTCACCGGACATCAGTGAGATGGAGAATAGTTTGGAAAAACCCTCTGGCCGGGAAAGCAATTCCCCAAGCCATGTTTCGGACAATGTAGAGAAGTGTCAACACTGTCCATTTGAAAGCTCCTTGAGGTCAGAGTTCAAAACCCACATACAACAACATATCTGTGTTTCACAACTACCTTTGGCCTACACCTGTGAGCATTGTGACTACACGGCCGAGGAGCAGGATCACATTGATGAACATACACGCATACATTTCAATAGCATGGAAAAATTAAAAGATGTTGCCTTCTTTACCAGCTATGATAAATTGGAGTTGAGCATGGAACAGCCACTCAACGAGGAGGAGGAGGATAAGGATGCAGAGAATGAGGAAAATAATCAAAATGAGAAGGCAAAGGAGACAGGGAATGAAAATAATTTGGAATTGAATATTAAAAAGGAAATAACGGCAAATAACAATAATGATGAGGATCGTGTAAATGAAAATCTGAAGCAAGCTTCCAACCCCAATACCAACACCACAACCAATAATGAGGCCTCCACATCAACGAACCCCGATGAAAATAAATCCCAAAAATGTGCAAAAATAATTCTATACAAAAATGATGGCTGTTTGAGTATTAAAAAGGAAAACAACAGCAACAACAACGAAACGGAGCACCAAGACCAACAACAACAACAGAATAGCTCTTCGTCTTCCAATAGCCAAAACATAAGTGAACGTCTAAGGAGGCGTATCAGTCGCCCAAGTGGAAATGCAATTTCAAGCAGCAGCGCCAACAATAACAACAACTCAACATCTGATGACCAACAACAACAACAACAGTCCACAACAACTACAAGCCATAAAACTATATTAGTTAATGCCAAAACTGGTCAAGTTATCAGCAGGAATTAAATTCTTATATAACTTTATATATACATATACATATGTATATATGAAAAAATATATATATATTTATGTAAAAAAATTATATATACAGTACAAACATACATTATGCAAAGGAGAAAATGATGGGAAAATTAGTTTTAGTTGGAGTCGTCTTGAAAATAGAAATTCCCAAGAAAAATAACAAAAAATTAAAAAAAAAATCGGAAAATTCCAATTGAAATCAAAATGTATGAAATATTTATAAAGAAATGTAATTATTTTTTTTTTTCAGAGCCAAAAAATTTAGATTCAATTTTTTAAATCTATAGCCAAAACTATGAAAAAAAATTAATATAAATATAATTTTTTTATTTCTTTTTTTCGTTGAAATCACAATTTTTTTAATTTTATTTTAAAAATTTAAAGCATTAATGAGTTTTATTTAATAATGGCATTTAAGAATTTCCATGCAGTTGGAAGACAAATAGAAAATATTTTTATAAATTTTTTTAGTGTCCAGCACGTTTTAAAACCAAAAAATTTCTTCTAAAAAAAAATATTTTAAATCTGAATATTTTCTTTCTCAGTGCACATCCAATTTAATTTGAATTAATAATTATTATAATTATTATTATTTTTTTAATTTTTCTCCTTTTGGGGCAATTTTTTATATTCTCAGTCAAATCGCTATAGAGGATATATATAATTTCAATTGGAATTAATATCTTGCATCGACATGCTCTTAAATATTTAAAAAAAAAATTGTTCCACTACAAAAAAAAAATTGTTCTTTAAAAAAATAAAACTTATTAAATTTTCCATTTTTTTAATTTGTTAAAAATTAATTGAATTAACTTTATTCGAATTAAATATTAATCATTTTTTGATTTTTTTTTTTTTTTTTTTTGATGGCATAATTTTTATTTTTGGTAGAAAAAATTATTTTTCATAGAAAGGCTCTTAAATATTTAAAATGAAACAGAATTTGGGTGTAAACAAAAACATGCCACTAACGAAATTTTGAAATTACTTTAAAAAAATCAATTTTTCATTTTTTAGAAATTAATTAGTTTTAATTAAATTTTTTTATTAATATTTTTTTATTTTTCAGCAAAAAAATATTTTTTCCTTAAAAAGGCATAAAAAATCAGTTTGTACTGTATATGGACCCTATTTTATAAATTAATACTAATATTAATTAATTCTAATTTAAGCATATTATTTTTAATTTTTTTTTTGTTGTTTTTTATTTTATTTCCTAAAAAAACCAACCCCCACCCTGAAGATAGGTTATTTTGTTTTAATTGTTAAAAAAAATTGTTTGTTACTAACTTTTAAATAATTTTAATTTTTAATAATAACTAATATTAAGTTTTGTTTTTTCTAATTTAAATAATAATATTATATAAAACATTTCCATATGAAAATAAATAATCAAAAATTTAAGAGGGGCAGCAAAAAAAATCATAAGAAATTACTTTAATTTAAATTAAATAACTAAAACAATACAAAATTTTAATTACAAAAAAAAAACAAAATAAATACTGTGATGTTCAAAATAAAACTAAAAAATATATATACAAAAAAAAAAAAGAAATAAATTGTTGGAAACTTTATTAATTCTAAAAATTATACGAGAAACAAAAAATGCATTTGCTGGACCCCCAAACATTATTTTTACAAAAAAAGTAGCAACAAATATAAGGAAAATCAAATCAGGATTATGAAACCATACATACATAGATATTAACTTTTAATATATATTTTCTTATAATTATTATTGTTATGTTCCACACCGGGTTTTATTATTTCATTTTTATTTTGTTAAGTTTATGGTTAATCACATTTTCTCCCCTGCTACCCCACATTTATTATAGTTTTAAAAATCTAAAAAAAAAATAAGTTTCAATTGTTTTTGTTCTTGTCCTTAAACACCTTTAATTTTTAAGATATTTTGTTTCTATTATTTATAGTTATTTTTTGTTCTAATTTTATTGGTAAACACATATACACACGCAGAAAAAAAATGAGTAGCATTATAGTCATTTATCTTATACACGTAAAATGATGCAAAATGAAAATAATATTTAATTATAAAAACAAACAAAAAATGTGTATTTACATATTGAAGAAAAATTAAATAAATAAATTTAGTGTTTTAGTTTATATAAAGCAAACAAAAATACCTAACTATATACAAAACAAAAATGAAGAAACAAACACACACATGCATACCTTTATTATCTAATCTTAAATTTAGCGTATAGTTTAATTTAAAATGCAAAAACAAAAAAAAGAAACAAAAATGAAAACAAAATACAAAACATAAGCATATTTTTACACAATTGCACACAACTTACAAGTTAAAGTTTGGTTCTATATTAAAAATTTTTGGATTTTTTAAGAATATTTAGTTTTTTGTTTTAATTTAATTTTTTCATTTGTGGGAGTTTTGAATTTGAGAAAATATATATTTAAGTGTCATGGCTATGAAAAATGAGGTATTCTGTTAGGTTAGGAACTGAGTTATAGCGAACTCCCCTACTATGGACTGTGAGTACATAAACTCTGAAACTATTTCCAAAAATTATGGGGAATTTTCTCTCCGAAAAATGTTAGCACAAGTCCACACATTGTTAAATGAATAATAAAACAAGTAAAAAACATTAAGTTCGGCCGGGCCGAACTTTTGATACCCTCCACCTTTGGGTAAAGGAAAACACTTTTATTTAAAAGTATCTGAATTTAATCATGTTCCACTCTAAACTACAAATACTGATAAGACCGTTTGGGTAATGCTGTTAATCTTAAAAAAAAACATAAAGTGAGTGAAGCCGTTATATGGGGGCCAGACAAAACGGGAACCTCTATAGACAATTTTATACTTCAAGGATTGTCATCTACCAAATCTCCTTAAATACCAAATTTGAAACAATTAAATGGAATTACAATTACCAATTTTTAGACAAATTCGTGAAAAAGTGTAGGGAAATCATCAAGATACCGAATATCGGGTGGTACCGTTATATGGGGGGCTATACAAAAACGTGGACCTATATATACAATGTTTCGCCACTTGAGCTAGTAACAATTATGACCTACAAATACCAATTTTTAGAGAAATCCGTGAAAAATGTATCAAAAACATGGACCGATATATCCCATTTTCAATACCGACCTTCCTAGACAAAATACAAATTGTTCTGCTAAATTTTGAAGCACTACGTCAAATAATGTGGTCTATATCGTGATTTCAACAGACAAACAGACGGACATCGGTAATTCGACTTAGAATTTTATGCTGATCATGAATATATACACTTTATGGGGTATACCATGTGCCTCATCGATTTAACGTTTTAGACCCTTGGTCTCTTTGAACCAAATCCATTTCAGGACATTTGGAGTCTATCTAGCGATGTTCGTCCGTCCGTCCGTCTGTCTGTCTGATGGCTGGTGCGCACGATATCTCTCGAGCGGAGTATCCGATTTGATCCAACCTTGGTACATCGTCATATTATTATCAAACCTAGATCGAGTTCGGAGATGGACAATAACAGTCCATTTCTTCAGGTACCTCCCCAACAAAATGTCAAAATTTAAAAAATATTTGACAGCACAGAAAGAGAGAGGATAATCCAATTTTGCTCCAACTTTGCAAATCCTGATATTTGCATCAGTGCTCGATCAGGTAAAAAAATGGACAATATCGGTACACTTCACCAAGTACTTCCCCCACAAAGGGTCAACATTTAAAGCATCCATGAAACTCATAAAACGCTAAATTAACATCCTATTCCATTCCATACTTGGCACATTTCAATATTTCCATCAAAACAAGATTTGTTATAAAGATGGTTAAGATCGGACCATTTCTTCTGGTACCTCCCCGACGTAGGGTCCAAGATTTGAAAAACAAAAAAGCTCAAAAAAGCGAAATAAACATCCAACTCTCCTCAAATTTCACACATACAAACATGTTTGCTAACTCAAGATCATACATTTGCGAACTCCTTCTGCTATCTCTCCCAATTTTATGACATAAATGTTCGATTTTCTTGTAATTTTGCCCATTCCAATATTATTATCTCATATAAAGTGAAGAAAGTAACCAATATAGTCCAAAAAGATATGATATGGACAATATTGGCCAATTACTTCGGAACCTACTGCATAGAGGCTCAACAATTTGAACAATAATAACCGAAGTCAAATATATTTAAATAATCGAACATTGGCTGAAGGTATACATCTGTCCGCAAAACCGACTGATATTTTTTTAATTTGTTGACAACACTTTTGATTATTCCGTAACTAATATGGTATTCCGTAACGGCGCCGACTGATTATTTGTAGGGGAGAGAGAGGGGGAGCTTCAGTATTGAGTAGGAATTGAAGAGTTAATACAAGAGATTTCCTCCGTCATGTAGATCTTAATCCGATAACTAATAGAACCACGTATACAGATTTTAGATTAACCGGCTTTTAGTGTTTGAAAGCCTAAAAATCGAAGTCAACTTCCGATTTTAGAATTTACTTTTTTGATCAACTTTGCAACAAAAACCAAAAAGATATGCAACAAAAACTTCAATTCTTCAATATGTTGGCGATAAAAGAGAAAACGGCCTTGTTTGACGACTTTGGTTTGAAGATTTTTCAAATCAAAAATTCGAATTTTTAGTGGAATGTAATAAGATTAAAGGTACAAAGAGGATATTCATATGGCACGATCTTCCACTGAATCCCACACCTGATGATTGCTTGACTCACCACCACACACCGCTTGAGGACACTAGTATAGGAGGCAGGTACAATGATCTTTCGGTCTTCATTTCATCGATTAAGAGTCGCAGTCCCTAGTCCCTTACTAGTCTAGTGTTAAATGCTTAGTTAGTGCTTTATCAAAAATTCGAGCTACATTGAATATTTTTGTGAGTAGTAAGTCCTCCTTATGGAAACTCGAAATGTAAAATTAAACCGATATATATATATATACACCTAAGTCTGTTTTTACACGGTAGATTGTTTCCAGAAGAAGCCGTGTAAAAAAAAACGTGTAAAAAAGACATTGATCTTATACAAAAATGGGTGATTTGTTCCTAATCTCTAAAACCTATTAAAATTAGTGAAAAACAAGAATTTTTATTTTTTTTTACCAAACACGTCTTATTGCATTAACAGTTCACAAAATATTAACACGTTTCAATTGCTCTGACCAGTAAATTTTATTGTATGCACATAGTGCTATTCACATTTGCTTTGACCAGTAAAATTTTTTTGTACGCGCTAAAGGGGAATTCACTTAAATCTTTAAGCTAGTGTTCGCAAACTATCGATGGTTTCAGACTTTTTTCTTTCATAAATACTTTTTTGTGATATGAACATACTTCGCAAAAATTAAATTTGACAAAAAAATTTAAGTACATAAAATTTCAAATCGTGCTAAATGGAGTAAAATCGTGTAAATAAATTAAAAATATTCAATTTTCAAACCGTGTTATATCAAAACCGTGTACAAAAAGACCGTGTAAAAACAGACTTAGGTGTATATATATTGTAATAATACATTGTTTTACCTACTAGTAATGCCGAAGCCAGGTTGTTACATTATATTTCGTTCAATTTTTGCTGGGTGCTAAATCGACATAGAATTCTACACTGAACAGTAATGTGTAAAGACTATAGAATCTTCGGCGAATATTTCATAGAGCTACAAATAAAATTACAAAATTAATATTTCTTGCATTTATTGATGGAGGGCTTTAAAATCGTTAAGCGGACTTTCGCTAATGGATTGTTCGATGTTCAGATCACGGGATTTTGGAAGATTTTTCATTTTTATTACCATTAATCTGTTAGCAAAAAAAGGCTAAATCGAGACCGACTTTGGTAGTGGACAGGGAAGTCGACTTTTTCCATTTCACTTTCCAACTTCACTTCTTAACTGCATGAGCTTAGTTATGTATTATATAAGGCGCATTTCCCATTTTATTGAATTACAATTCGACCAACGACCATTTTTTTAGATCTGCCAGCCGAAGTGCTTACAATCTTGTAGTTGAAGTCTTAATAGCTGAAACACCTCCATTCGAAAATTGTTTCATGTAGATCTAGATTTTAAAAAGGGTTCCCCATATAAATGTAACCAATCATTGGTATTTTTAAGGGTCATGTCACATTTATCAAAATTATAGTGATTTTAAGGACAACCGACTTGACCAAAATTTATATTTAAGGGTCCGACAAAGGTAACGAAAAAAGTTTGATCTGGACATAGTAGAGAGTGTCTAAGGTTTTCTAATTGCTACTATTGTCGTCCATTTCTGATACAGGCGGCCATATTTTACTGACTGTTTTAGATTGTACTTCAATATTTAGAACGTGAAAATGCCGTTGAAGGTGGGAAACATTCTCATCATTTTAGTTTATGGCTCTTCTATCGTCACCATTTCTATTTCTAGGTTAGAATTGATTCTGCATGATTTCAACAATTTTTGCAAGGCTACAATTTTATGGTTCAGTTTATTTGTATTTTGAGGTTTGCTCTTTAACTTACGATCATGTATTCTGGTTCATATATTTTTAAGTATTGGGAATTGAAAAACCTCAATCTTAAAAATCCTGCAGAAGAAAATTTTAGGTCTGCGATATAATTTTCCCCGTAAAAAAATTATTGCATATTCTCGATTTATAACTAAAAATGTGTTTTACACTTCCTTTAACATTTATTCAGAAGAGTAAATAAGATTTGTATCTTACGATTCTTGTAGAGTAAGCAGTAGCTAACCATAAAACAATTGATTGAAACAACAAACTCAAGCTCAATAGTGCAAATTTGAATACTTAGAATTTTTCTTTCATGTCGCTCTATTTACAGGACTTCTGGGTAACTTTTCAACATGAAACAATTTATCAAGAAACATAATATCAAAAAAAATAGCGCTCCCCCATAAATCTATGGCCATGTTTCAAAGCTTTAAAGAAAGACAAAACTGGGATTATAATCTGAAAAAATAGAAATTTTTAAAATTCTCCGCAAAACACATATTGGATTAGCACCAATATTTAAAATTGAATATAACAAACATTAACTTGTAACCTTGCTGCGACACTGAAAAGCCAAACAGACAACACACAATATTTTATTAAAGAGTTCTAAACTTTTCAATAAAAACAAAGCGAAACAATTTTGAAAATCAAATAGATCCAAAAAAAAAAACAAAAGAACTTGTGGAATAGCGGGGCCATACTTATTGAATGTATTGAATAATATTAAAAGTAACGTAAATTAAATACATATATATAAAACTAAGTAACAAGCCTAGTTATAAAAACTTGTAAATGTAATCTACATACATATATAAAATTACTAAAATTCACGAAATATAAAATGCAACAACACAAAATTG